GCAGCTCACACTGCCCGGTAAAAAAGAGTCGCAGAAATGTGTTGGTCGCAGGCAGCAATCTTCTATATGTGCTAGCAGTGAGTAACCTTTTTTTGCTTTCGAATTTCTTTTTCCAGTGACTTCGGCGGGTTGTTCGTTCGCTCGCTTGACGAAGCAGTTTAAAAGTGCATTCAAGTACTTGTTGACGTAGGTGTCCGTAGGTTGACGCAGGAAGCAGAAGAAAGATTTTCCACCACATCGCACAAACTTGTTCTTGCAATGGTAGGCACCACATCGCACAAACTTGTTCTTGAATGCGACCGGTTGATCAACAAGCGATGACCCGTAGCAGACGTGCCGGCCGGAGTACACAAATAAAATTCGAATAAAAATGGGTAACGAGCTTACACTTTTTAATATATTTAATAAATATCAAAAAGCACGTATGACGATTTTGGATTAGAAACTCAATCGAAGGCGAAAATAGGAGGTTATCGCAGACGACAGTGGAAGAAAACAACAACAACAGCAAAGTTGCAGACGGCCCTCAAAATGCCCGGACCTAGCGCAGACGAACCGGGGGTAGTGAGCGCCGAAGCGAAGGAAAGGGAGTAAAAACTAAGCCAAACAAAGCAAGGATACGCGATTGTTTACACGTCGGCAAAAAAAAAAAAAAAAAAAGGCAAAAAACAAACAAAAAATATACGCAGCAACATATAAGCAGGAGGAAGAAATAACGCGGCAGAGTGGCGTCGCCTCAAAAATATAAAAGAAAGAAGACTCAAAAATGGAACGAGTGGAAACGGTTCAACGGGTGTCGGCCTTTATCGTAGAAGTAAAGAAGCAGCGAAGCAGAAGATGTTGGTCGTCCCCGCGCTAACAATCGGAATTTGTGCACTGTAAATAGCCTGACTGAAATCATATTTTTTTTGCGGGGCTACGACGCTCTCCCCTTCTTTCTTTGCAAGCGCGAGAAGTCTGCTTTTTTCGTAACTCCGCTTTTGTTAATCTATAATCGCGTCAGATTTGCGTATGCACAACGCCTTCTTTCGGAGCATACTGACATCGCCGTAACGTACGTGGTTCGAAATTGACTTCTGCTTCTTCATCCGGAGACGATCTTAACGGGATTAGCCAGCTCGCCTGTTCGACGAAACGGTTATAAGCAAGACACTCATGAGAAATGGGAATTGCAACGACAAAACAAATTGACTGATAAGAACAATAAATTGGAAACGAAGCAATGTTCTGAAATGTTAGTACATTTCCCTTTTTCACGAAACAGCGCGAAGGCATACATTCGTGTTTTGCTTGGCTTACATAAGTTGTGACAGAATGTTTTCTTCGGGAGAACTCCGAAATTGCACCCAGAAAGCTGTAACATCTTTCCCACGCGAAGAGAATGTCATTCACTCATGAGCTGGCACCCATTTTTTAACTTTGAAAGCAGCGAATGTCCGTGACAATTTTTTTTCGTTGGTCACCTCGCACGGAGATAGGCAAAACCAATGCATTTCGGAGAATTTGTCTGCCAGCGGAGACTCCGAGCTCGCCAGGGGCGCTGCAATCACTTTTCGCCCGTTTTCCGCGGGAGTTGCCAGTATTGGCTTCCACGGTATTTGCCCACGGCGTCATTCCCTTCGCGCGCGTGGTGAGTGTACTGGGTGTCCTTTTTTTGAAAGATGGAATAGCGCCTCGTACCTGGGAAAAAGTGTTTTAGCATATAAGGCAGCAAGTGCAACTGGCCCAAGCGTTCAAACTCTCTTTCGGTGACAAAGCGTTTTAATAAAATTGGTCATTTGAGCGACGCTGTGGTACACGGCTCAAAATTTCGGTTCCGCCACAAGCAATGACACGTAGAACTACTTTCCTCGTGATTGCGCTTTTTTTAAGACCAGTAAACCGAACTTGTTGCCTCGGCGCCAGCCTCGTGATGTGGTGGCTGGAGCATACCGTGTGTAGTAACTTTTGGAAAGTTGCTTGCCTTACAGGATGATGTGGGCGGTCCAGGCCGCGCCCTCGTTTCGTACTTGTCGGGCATTTACGCAGAGTCCTTGTTGCTCAGGGGCTAAGGAATGCCTGTCCTGCCGCAGGGACTTTTTTGTGTTTTACTACGCCATGGTTGTCGCAATGCAATGCCGGGGAACGGAAGTGTTGCCCGACGTCAGTGCCCAAGAGACACCAGCAGTATCACGTATGTGTGAAGCCCTTTGCGCGTCTGGCGTCTTTTCCCGGCGCCAAACTCAAACTTCACGAGTGTGCATAAAAATATGTTAGCTTGGGACGTACCAGGGCAAGTGGCCGACATCGGCTGGAAATATGAGTGGGATGTTCTACCCACCAGAGACATGTCAGCACATTGGGGAGTGCCCGCGACTGACGGTTTCCCACAGTGTGCCTCCCCAGAGACAAATCAACTTGTATTCGCTACAGATCTGCAGTGGCGCGCACGTTTTGACCAGTGGTGTTGCAGATGTTTTGGGACCCACTTCTACTCCCAAACGCGTGTGCGCAGTCATTTCGCCAAGCTCGTAGTAATTCTAACCCACGAAATTTTTGTGGCAGCATAGAAATAAGGCCATTGTTCAACGCCGGCGTTTTAAGCCACCCCTTCCAATGCTGCGAACGCTGCTAGAAAATATGGCCGACCACCTGTAAAATATACTTTGAAGCCTAGGTGAGCAGTACATCGTCAGGCGTTGGCACTCAGTTTTTTCGTGTGAGTGGCAACAAGGTCCGCATGCACCCCACAACTGTTTCGCGATTGGATGTAAAAATAGTAGCTGTGGCCCAGCACCGCTGAATTTGTAGATATCTAAATAAAAGTTTCTTTATCAGCCAATCAACTTGCGACGTTTGGTCGTCTCTTTGATAGTTATCAGCTTGCTTCCAGCTTGCAGACAGGGCAGGCAATGGCGCTACTTTTCCAGTATCCAGTGACTTTAGATCAACAATCCCAGGAAAATCAATTCTGCAATCTCTTACGCAGTGTTGTAGGCGTTACCGAAAAAAAGTAACAAAATGTGTTACTCCTTACTTGCAAATAAAAGGAACGCGTTACCGTCCTACGTTACTTCAAAATAAAAGGACCGCGTTACCGTTACAGCTGCTGATAGAAAGTAACGCACGTTACTTTTGCGTTACTTTTTTTAAATTCTGAATTAACACGTTTTACTGTTTTGACGTTATAGTATGCCTGAGCGCCATATTTCAACAAACATTATGTCCATGCAGAAACTGAACATAATTACTTTATATTTTCTACGGTTCCAGCTAAATCCTTAAAAAGAAAAGAACGCAAAGAAAAATGTAAAAATTTCTAAAATCCACATGGCTTGGCGCCTAGAAACATTAAATAAATAGAACTGTAACTTTTTTTTTGAAAGTTTAGGGTCGAAAAAGTAACGAGTAGCGTAACTCCGTTGCAATTTACTCGAAAAAGTAACGTAAGTACGTTACTCGTTACTGTTTTGATAAAGTACTGACTACGTTGCACGTTACGGAAAAAAGTAACGCGTCAAGATAATACCGTTACTTGGAACGCGTTAGTGCAAACAGTAAACTCTTAAGGCCCCCCCCCCCCCCCCCCCCCCGCCTCGAAGAAAAATAAAACAAGGAATTAAATGATCAATGTTACCGCTATACGGTTTGCTCACAGCACGCATCTTCGGTCCGCGGCCGACATATTTGTGTGCTAGGAGACACCAAGCGTAATTCCTGTTGTTTTTGCTGTGGCTGAGCGGTGTTCACTACGTCAACCTTGTTCAGCTAGTGAATATCAGGGGAGCAAAATTTTAAGGGGCGGAACGTTGTTCCCCTATTTAAAAATCTAATTTGTATGAGAAGTTTCTGTGTCCAATAAACACATATGAGTCATACAAGATATATAAGAACTACATAAGAACTATTTAAGAACTAAATAAGATATGTAAGAACATGTAGGTACCATATAAGGAACTTGTGAGTAGTTTCTTATATGTTCCTATATACCTTATATAGTTTTTATATAGTTCTCATATAGTTCTTATATAGTTGTTATGTAGTTCTTATAAGTTCTTATATATCTTGTATGATTAATATGTGTTTATTGGACACATGAAAATACTCATACAAATTGATTTTTTAATCGGGTCGCTGATGTTTTGAGGCAAGAGCGATCGTAGAGTTTGATAAGGACGCTAGGGTGATCCAAACGACGATCTCCTTTAGCAATGGTGCTGGACCCCCACTACACGTCGTCGCATCAAGAAAAAATAAAGTTTTGTGCGTTATTCAGACACTGCGCGAAGTAGTTATTAAAATATTTTGTTGTCCGGGAAACAAACCATTCATTTGGCGTTTTAAATGTATACGTATTGATAAGCTAATATATAGTTCATCTAAAATGCACCTACATGTAGCCTAATTCACCACATAAAGAAAAAAAAAGCAATCCACAAAAAAAAAATTGTTTTTATTTTTTTTTATATAGGGTTTTGAGGTGAAAACCAGTATAGACAGTTTCACTCGTGGGACCTTTAAAGAGAAACTGAATCGGTTCTGTATTTGAGAAAAAAACACTTTAATGGCCTTCATTCTACCTCCAGGATCAGAAATATCGAGATTATTTTTCAATTTGGTGCAAGGAGGCTTCAGAAATTAATTTGGAAAGTTCCGCCGAATCCCCTCCTTCCCGGGGCGTGACGTCACACTAGGAGTGTTCGAAGTCTCTGCTCTCGCGCATTTTTTCGTCATGACTGCCGTCAGTGCGGAAAAAAATATAGCTGGCAAGCTTGCCATTGCACGCGCTGCCCATACGAGCGACACGCAATGGCGGCCCAAAGATCCTAGTCTGACGTCACGACTTGTGGAAGGTTTTTCGCGTTTTCTCGCATTTAGTTGCATCTTCAGGGAAATCGAATGTGATATTCAGATTCACGGGTTAAAAATACGCCAGAATTCACCTCTAACTCGTTTTTTTAAAGAAGTGTTTCACCTCCCCTTTAATGCTGCATGTACTAAATTCACGAAGAAACGCTCACCTGCTGTTAATGGCCCGTTGACGTGCGAGGGGCATCCTCTTGTTTAGGTAAAACACAGAGTTGAAGTTGAACATGGCCTCCTTGCCGACGTAGTATTCCCCCGCGTCAGAGTTGGCGCAGGCGGTCGTGGCCCGGGCGGCCAGCGCGGCTCGACTCATGATGAGCACAGCCTTTCCTTGAACCACCTCGCGCATTGTGCCATCGGACAGGACGACCCCCGGAGGCTGGTCGGACTTGTGTCTCTGCATCATGCGCCATACCTTCTGGTACGACGGGTCCTTGGAGTCCTGGTAGGACATGATTGGAATCGCGTCAAAAAGGAAGAAACCCCTTTCCAAAAAACGATGGTATCCAGTGTGAAATGCACGAACAAATTATGAAAAAAAATATCCCCAGAACGCCTACCACACAGAAGAATAGTATTACTCGAATCGAGCAATTCTAGACAGGGGTGAGTAAGACAAAGTTGGGCAATTACACTTCTATCAACAATGTGCAGCACTCAGCTGCTGCTTCGACGGTAGCACGTGCCTCTGACTTTTTGAAGCAAATACAGTCCAGGTCAAGAATGTTAAACAAAACCTTTTTTCACCTAATTCGGGAAGGATGACTGACGGGTTTGGTACGTTATCCTAACCGAGAGCTGAAGTAGAGTGAATGGCTTTCCGTAATGTAAAGACCTTGCGTAAAGAGGAAAACGTCTATCAATATGTCCGAAGTCCTGACGTAAACTGGCGCGCTGATTGACAAGCCGATTGCTCCTTGCGATATCGAGATATGTCATCGCGTACCTGCAGGCAATTTATCGCCAGGTCAGCTTATCATTGCGCGATTTAATCTTCGCTCAAAAGGGGATTCTGTAATCGAGAATGCGTGGAAGAATCGGTTGTCAACCTCAGATTTAGGCCGCGGTACACGTGCCTCAGTCTACTGCAATGAACACTAGTGTCCAGAACTAAAAAAAGCTGCTTGGCATGACAGTGGTAAAGAAGGGTAGAAATTTGCGTGGACGAGAGGCGGAAACATATAGGTGCGAAAATCAGAGCAGTCACGGGCTGTCTCTTTTCCTTGCATCAACAAGTTAGCCAAGATTGTGTAAGAACATTATGTTTTCCCTCAAGTTATGTTTTTTGCCATTAATGTTTGAGCACATCTCATGGCGAATGAAGTCGCCACTCTTTTTAAATTTGCAAAAGAGAAATATCTATTTTTTGTTTCCATCAAACCTTTGTTCTGCTCGTAATAAGGAGGACGAGCTAAGTGCTCTGTTTCAAAAATTTGTTTTTTCTTTCGACGTAATCATGGTCACCGAAATATGCAATCAAGACGACCTGAAGGTGCTGCCAGTGGATAAATATAATTTTAACCCCTTGTTCAAAAGGTACGGGGGAAGATATATATGGTGTACGAGATAGTTTTGATTGTGAACTCATGACCGATTTTTTTTATTTATTTGTAGTGATTTTGAAATAATGACGTTGAAGTGCGGGCAAAATATTTTTTATCTTGGTGTATAGGCTACCAAGTGGAAAATTAAAGAATTTGAGGCCATTTTGGTAAGTTCTTGAATTATTTAAATGTCAACCGGCACGAACCTTTTATCGGTGGAAATTTTAATATTAACACGTTAATAGCCTCCAATGCGCAATATTCACTCGTAAGTGTTGCTGAATCGAACAATCGAATTAACATATTTAGTTCACCCACACATGCTACCGGTGTTTCATCTACGCTTATTTATCTTTTTGTCATGAATAATGATGTACGCAATAAGTTTGGTGGGGTGGGGGGGGGGGGGGGGGCATTGCCGTCCAAATAGGCCATCACTTGTCGTTATTCATGTTGACAAACAACACCACTGACAATCACAGTAATGCAGCCATAAACACGCGTATGTAAAGAAACTTAAATTCTCTAGTAAGGTAGATAATTACTGGACAGGCACACACTCCCACCTATATGATTTACTAGAAGAAAACGTTTGTGTGCGTTTTTTTTGTTTTCGTCTAATAAATCATATGATTCTGAGTCAGCGCCTGTCCAGTCGTGTGTTTCTTCTCTTTGTCTTTGCCTTACAGGCTGTTTTTTTTTCCAATCATGTATACATTTTCACACACTTGAAGTGTTGACGTCCCATATTAGTGACGTAAACTCAAATCTAGTTTACAATTCTTTTTCCGTTGATAAAGTGTATGTCTGCTTGTTAGCACTTTTTCTTGGTATTTAGCTACATCATCCAATATAGACCAGTTCATAAAAAAAAAACAAAAAAAACGCGGATAAACCGTTGGTGACTGAAGAATGTTACAAAATGGTACGAAAAGAAAAACATGCTAGACCGTACGTTCTTAACTACACGGGACACTGACCATTTAAAAATAATTGAAGACATATAGAAACCTACTGACTAAAATTATCAGAAAAGCAAAGGGAAAGTATTTGAACTCATCATTTAATGAAGGAACAATGTCGAGAGCAGACCAGACTTTGTACATTATTAATCAACTTTTAGATCGATCATGTGGAAACAATACCATCACAGAATTGCAAATATGTGACACAACATTTCGTGGAAAAGACCTGGCTAACTCATTTAACAACTATTTCGCGTACATTACCCACATCAGTGACAACCCACTGTGGACGAGGTACCTAGAAACCCCTCATAAAAATAGCGTGTTTTTTCACCCAACAGACCAACACGAGGTTTTTAACAAATTTCATTATATATACTTTAGTAAATGTAGTGACATGGACGACATACAAATTAAGCCCGTTAATTACGTTTTGAACATATTAGCACCTGTATTGCCGTTCATTTTTAATATTTCTATTGCCACAGAAAGCTTTCCTCGCCGTGTACAAATTTCCAAAGTCATTCTTTCCATAAGTGGAAACAAAAAGGAGCACTCAAGCTATAGGCCCCTTTTCATTTTACCGGTGTTTTCGAAATGTCTTGAAAAAATCTTAAGAAGAAGAATAACTTTTTTTCATCAATTCTTGATTCTTACATTCTCAAAATACGGTTTTCGCTAGGGACGATCACTGAACTTGCCCTACTAATACAAAAATGAATTATCTTGAAATCATTTAAAGAAAAGCATATTACTCTTGGGGGTTTTATGGACTTTTCCAAAGTTTGGATCGCATAAATCGTATCACTCCACTAAAAAAAAGAAAACCTTGAGTTCCATGGTTTTTATGTTATAACACTCGAACTGATAGCTTCATACTTACAATTTTGTCAACAGTCTGTGATCATCAGTAGTCAGTGTTCCAGCTTACTACCTATAACTGTCGGTGTTCCTCGGGGAAGCAATTTGGGTCCATTTATTTGAAATATTGACATCATTGACATCGTTCACATAAGTAACGATGCAACCATTGTGATTTATGCCGATGATACTTTTTTTTTGCACTTGACAACGATACGCTTGCTCAAGTCGCAAACCGCACTTATGAATCACTGTACACATGGAGTAACGTAAATTCACTGCGAATTACCAGATCTAAAACTAAGGCCGTGCTGTTGAAACCGAATATTGAATATTTTATTATCGACTGTAACCTCGTGATAGGTCCATCTTTTAATGAAATAGTTCATCTTGAGGGGGGGGGGCTAAAACTTTAGGCGTAATTTTTCATTTAATTTTGTTATGGGATTGTCACGTTGAAACTATTATTGGTAAGATTTCTAAAGCTGTAGGTCTTCTTAAGAAGTTTTGTTTCGAGCTCCCAGTGGCCATTAAATTACTCATATACAACTCTCTCCTCGCTCCATATCTAAATTATGGTCATCGTTTTTGGGGTACCACTACAGCAACTAACATAAACAAACTCCATGTTCTTAAAAAAAGGCCGTTACGTCTATCAATCATGTATCATATGACACCCGTACATAACCTCTTTGAAAAGCACTGCATCTCATTCCAGTTATCCGTCTCTATGATTGCACCCTAATTTGAATATTCACCTCATCAAACAAAAGAAAATTGAATGTTCACCTCATCAAACAAAAAGTTGATTTAACGCGACTTTCAAACTTTTATACCGTTCCTAATACCGACGCTTGCAAAATACCATACTGCAGAACAAATTACGGAACCCAGACGCTAAGACATAACCACTCATCATTACAAAATAATTTATTAAGAAACAACGTCACAGTTGAGACGCCATCACCCCATTTCATCAAAATTATGTTCATGTAACATTGAGACGTGTGTAGATTGTAATAATGAGTTTTTTTATATTTACGAGTTTTATGTTTACTTTATATTGTTATTTAGTAGTTCTATAACGTGTGTTTCAGTTTTTTTTTTCTTTGCATCGTCTGTTTGCCTCTGCCGAGGAAACGGGGGCGGGCCTCGTCAAGCCAACATATGTTGGCTTTTTGCCCACACCTCCGTCGCCTGTACAAATGCATAGACAAAAATAAAGTGAAATTGTATCTGTACTTAATGTTTCTCCTTTTGAAACTCAGTACCTCCGGCAGGGGTTCGCTCGCTAACCAGAATGGTAAAAGATTTCCAAGAAAGCCACACGAACGCAGCCTTTGATTTATGTGCTACACTAAGAATGAGACTGCCACCGAAATAGCGTGTTTTGTTTTTCTTGGCGCCATTATTACAATTTCAAAATCTGATATTAGCCCATGAGGGCGTTTGATTGAAAAACGTAATGTATTAAAAACAATTCTTATAATTTTACTCTTAAATTATACCCTCTGATTACAATGGCCTTGTTTAAGCGGGTCGTACTGGCAGAATGTTATTGGGAAAATAACAAATCTGTTTGTTCATTTAGCCATCCACTAGAAATTGCTGTTATTTTCTACTCAATACATGCAACACCGCTCTGAGGTGGGGATTTTTCGGAAACGATAAAATATTTAGTATTTGCCTGTCTCCAGCAGCCATTTTATCCTTGTGGCTTTTATAAAACAAATTGTTTGCAAAAACGATATTGTTCAGTATAGTGTTTAGGCTGCAGCATACAAGCAAACCTTGAACAATGAACGTAAGCCGATCTCACTCTTGCGCCTTTAGTTAAGAGTCACGTAGCTTACATGGTTCCCTAAGTCTTCCAGCGTTATTACGCCCTCGTCACTACGCCTCAGGCCACGATAAATGTGCTCGAGATATTCGTGTTTAACCACAACTCTGACAATGTTTGTTGACCTGAAATTGCTTGGCGTAGGTTTTGATAGCTTTCGACAGGATGTACGGCTGGGCAGGACCACGATACATTCAATATCTTAGAGGTACTTTCGGGTGTCTGTATTTCTGTGTCAAGATGCACTCGAAAAATATATTTGTATCTCCGTAGTAAAATAAATTTACGATGTATCGCTTGTATTGCGATACTCTGCCTTGGCTTAGGTATCTCGTTACATTTGTTGTCTAAAATTAACTGTCGGGTTTTTCACAATAAATTGAGAACCGCTTTCGGAGGCGTGAGGGACCCCAAACTTTATATGAATCAACTATTTAACTCTCTCTGCAAGGAAAATACTTGATAGAAAGCACGATATATCGTGAACAGTCACAAAAATACGAGCGCTGCCATTTGCATTCACCACCAACAGCTCCCGCCGCAGGTACCACGTTTTAAGAAAAAAAAAAAAAAACGTATTTCTGGATGTACCTGCTTCTATATACCGGTATATTTGTTTTCTTTTTTTTCATAAGTATGTCGGGGACGTTTCGTTACATATAAGAGACATGTATTCGAGTATATATATATATATATATATATATATATATATATATATATATATATATATATATATATATATATATATATATATATATATATATATTGGCCTTAAAGTTCATGCATCTCAGTTTTTGTATTCCGGAATACTTTGAGCATCTCTGCGGATTGAATTCTGCCATTTCTCTTCACCTTTTTTACCAACCGAAGCAAAATATGTAAGCTCGAACAGATGTCATTAAAAGGTAATTCCGCTGCGTTCGCACACGTGTAACAAGGATTCTTAAATACATTTCTGCGTAAAAAAATCTTGGAGAACGCATTTCTGCGTAACACACTCCATACTGAGTTTCTGCGCAGGAAAATCAACAACAAATTCATGTGGCGATGTAGTTCGAGACATCCCGGTTGGTCTCTGGGCTTTGATTCCCTTTAAAGGGATACTTCAACGAAATTTTAAATATATCCGTGGTGTTCAAAAACAGGTTCAATATAATCCACAATATCCGTAAATGACAATCGCACGTTGGTATTTTGAGCCTGGTGGCTGTATTTTTTCTTATAAACGGCCCACTCTAGCAAGCGTTCGGAGAAGTCCCAGCTTAGAGCACATGACATCCAACGCAATCGTGACGTAGGTCGTCTTGGGACGAGCAAAGCTATGGCGAGGCTGACGTCGAGGGGATGGCCTAGTCCTTCCAGCCACCGAAGCGGCTGCTTTTGTACGAAGTTTGAGTGGCGGGTTAATCTTCTATAATCTTGTAGGGGGACAACAGCTACTTCTGGAACACACAAGAGGGATTCTCGGGAAGACGGCAGTTCCTCCTTCCCCTCTTCTCTCGTCGTGGCCGGAGGCGAGACACTCACCGTCACTAGCTGTCAAGGTTCCTAGACGGGCATTACAAACGAGGCGTTAGCGACATCCACAAGTGCTCTTAGCTAATCGTTTAATTCGTCTTAAAAATTCTTTTCGTGTTTTTTAACAAGATATTGGTTTGTTCGATGTGATACTGCTCCTTTGAACGCACATAGACCATAAAAAAAGGCCGAAATTTTGTTGCACTATCCCTTTAAGTCAGAGCGCAGCCGATGTCGTGTTGTCGGTGCGGCTAGAGCTGCCCAATGAGCAAGGCTTGAGAGTTATCCAGCCATCTCGGTCTATACACAATCATTGGTGCCAGTTGTCAAAACCGATATATGAAATCGCAGGAATCGGTTCTTCGTCTTTTATGAATATTAAACAGGTACTCGACAGAGCAAAATCTATATTTCCTGAGCTGCCGGACGCCGTATCTCAAGCTCAGAAAGGCGCACTTTAGAACCTAAACGGCCCGTTCAAGCTTGCAAGTCGCAGCTGTCGCGCGACTTTTGTCGCGAAAGCGACATTCGCTAATCCCGAATGCGATTGTTTTGGACCAGTTACTTCCAGACGAAATTTTTGCGACCGATCGCCGAGTCGCCCGGCGGCTGTACCAATCAGCAGCGCCTCGGAAGTGGCGTGTGCTGGGCCTCGCGATTTTTTACATCCGGCACGTCGAACTTACGTGGGAGTAGCAAGGGAGAAGCAACCGACCTATCCATCTCACGCCTCGGTTCGTGATAGCGGTCATGGATACAGAGCCACGTAGGTCTCTGCGGTGGCACTGGTCAGCGCCCTTAAAAAATAGTCATTTTTGGTTTTATAAAAGGAGCACTTTGATTCGAACGAGTGCTAAAAAATAACTTGGCCTAGCAGCGAATCCGCGCCACGAGCGAGTTCACGCCGATATACCGAATGTGCTTCATTGTACGCTTCCGAAGGACCAAGGTCAACATCACGAGTCTTTTTTTATCAGGAAATAACGACGCATATGTAGCGGTCAGACAACGAAGATGGGAAATCTGCGAAACGCAAACCCAAGCTGTGGCGGGGAGGACGGAATGAACGGCGGCTCAGTGCACCTGAGAAGCGACTCGCCGGTACAGGCCATGAATACAGAGACACGGAGGCGTCTACGGCGGCTCTCATCAGAGTGCCAATTTATAACAAGCATTCTAATGAGAGCCCAAAAAAAAAACTCTGCCTGCGAGCAAATCTCTTGTTTTCGGTTGAACAGGTCAGCGGAAGCTCGAGTGAGTGCACGTCAGTGTAGCGATTGTGCTTTTATTATAGGGTACAGGCTAATAACACTAATCTTTCTTTCGTGGTGGAAACTACGGAGGTAAAACCAAAAATTGAAAGCAGTGAAACCGGACGGAATCGAAGATGGCTCCCTAAAATTCGGAGAAGCGACTCTCCGATCGTCCGCATTGTGAACGTCGGTGGTCGCTTGTCACATGTCGCTAGCCACTTGTGTGACTCAAGAGTTGCAAGTGTGAAGGCGCCTTAACGTTAGCTCGTTGTGCTCGCCCTACACTAAAAATGGTCACAAGATAATCTGGGAATCAAGTGGGGATAACCTAAGCGTATCTCAGTTGATGACTCTAGATAGCGCCAATCGCGCAATGCCAAAAACGCTACGCAGCTTTTGTAGTTTTTTTTCCTAGGTTATCAGCCTACGACCGTCATGTTCATACATGCGCAGTGACTTTGCACTTTTAGTATGTTGATGTGTGCCCTCTATTCTTGCACGTATACACTCTGACTTGATGTGAAACGAAGTATAGAAGAGTATCGGCTGCGAGAAAATCACTCTGTACTTCGTTTTTTCTAAGTCGGAGCGAAGCGGACTTTGCGGTCTGATGAAGCCAATCACGGTCCGATGAAACAACCACACAAAGGTTACGGGCGCCGTTACGATTCCCTGTGGCGCTCATTGATTGGCTCCATCGGACTGCAGAGTCGACTGACCGCAAATTTAGTGAAAAAATAAAAAATCAAGGCTTTGAAAAAAAAAATAAGTATTCAGTATTGAGACTCTGAACCTTCTTAGCATCAAGCGTTGTTCTCACTTCATATATTTCTCTCCTAGATAATACATGAAATATGACCTAATTTATTTATGCATAGAGTCTGTGGATATTAAATTATTATTCATCAGAGGGTATTATTCATCAGAACTGTGTTTACAGCAGCTGTTATTCTATAATGTACCTCTCCTTTTAAGGCTGTCGGAGTACGAAATTGAAACGGCAGTTAACTATGAGCAGAATAAAGCTACATATCAGTTAAAACCCTCACATCATGAACACGCTTCAAATTTAAGTACACGATTATATAGACATCTCACGAAATGTATTTAGCAGTTGTCTTTTGTCGTACTGAGGCTTGTGTTCCACGTACAGGTCTCCGGTAAACATTTTATAGCGCTTTGATATATATACTTGTGCCCTTTCATATAATTTTAAATGCATTACATATTTAGTAGTATACCGGTGTTTTGGGGATGTATAATGTGCATTGCCTTCTAGATAATTTTTCACACTCACACGGACTGAAGACACTCCAGCGCTTCCAGCTACCGTGTAAGGCTTCATTTCAGGCTTGAGCGACAGGTCTTTCATGTTGTCGATGCGTCCCGACTCTTCCTTTATCATCATCATGGCTTTCATCTGGCCGGCAAACACAGTGGTCAGGATGATGACGGCCAGCCAGAAGGTTGCCACCACAATCCGTGCCGAGACACGTCTAGGAGTGTGCGAAGACGCTGAGATGAGACGGAAATATATTTTAGAGTCGCTTACGAAACCTCGGCCCCAGCAAATGAGCGACGGAGACATCCCACGAATCTGTGAGGCTTCCGTCATCACCCGGTGTGTCCAGCAATATATAAAACACTGCCCCCCCCCCCCCCCCCCCCCCCAAGAATCACTCCAAGAATTGTGTTGCACCTCCTAGATTGACAATCCTGGATATCTTGAGATTATATCTAGTAACGATATACACGATGTTGGTCGAAACGCGAGCCAATTTGTTCCTGCCAAAAGTATGGATCACACAGAAAAAAAAGATTGAAATGCTATTGTTTTAAGCCGAAGGGTTGATATGCTATTTTGTTCAGCGAAAGGAAAGATATTGACGTTTGGTATGATTAGGCTTCGAATCAATTTTGAGTAATTAACTTCTTAATTCGTAAATTTAAACGTAAGATCTAAATTAAACTTGCTTGGCATCGTTGGAGACCAGTAAATCAGCGCGACCTGCAAAACAACAAGTCATGCACATCCTTTTGCAATTCTGAAATAAAAGCCAATTGGACAAGCCGCCGCATAACGAAACTGGCACACTTTGCATTGTGCCTTTGATAATGTCACCTTTAAATAAAGTAATGAAACACAATTGTGTACAAACGCTATTCTTTCAGAATACAGCACTAGTTTGGTTCAAAATACGTTAATTTTATCTAGGTACCTTTCTGCTTAGCATTTAAACTCAGTTTTCATTTAGAAGCAATTATCATCTTCTTTTTCCTCTCTTTTATTATTTTCCCTTTCTTTCTTTTCTTAGGGAACGTCAGTGACTGTGCGCAGAATATTTCCTCACACTTTTGCTCTCCTCGTCAAACGGCGCGACCCCATTTTGGCCTTTTTGAGAATTTTTTCTGCTCCAGTCACCGCTTTGTTTTCGTAGTAATAGATCCATAGACTCAACGGTAAGCCTTTCCCGTAGTTCCGCTGAAACCATATGGTCAATGAGTTGCAACTTGCCTTGTCTTTTATTTTATTTAGATTACTGTTCTAGTCTCTTTTGTACACATGAGTTTTTGTTTCATCTTTGGGGCATGTTGTTATCAATATAGAGCGAGCGTGTTGATGTGAGGATGTTCCAAAAGCAAAGGTTCCTACATCCTACGCAGAAACTGTTGCAAGTGTTACCAATTTACCGTCCCTTAAAACTAGCATGAGTGCAGACGACACTTTCCACCAAGGATAAAGGTAAATTTCTTGGATGGTATGACAGCAGCATCAAAGGTACCATCACACATTATCAGGGTAAGAAAAGTAATTTGCAAGGCCAGTGTAAGCTTTTATACTTTTAGTTTTAGTGGTAGACAGTCTAGTTTTATCAATTATACAGTCGTCTGAGAAGAGAGCAGCATGTAGTCTCTACAAGGGTTTATGTCAAGCTCATAGTTTTATATTCGCTGCGAGTGAGAGACGGAAATTTAGACGTAAAGCTCCAATCTGGTAAGCACATACACTTATATCATTCCAGTCCGTCACCTGTATATGTTACTCTAGCCTGTTAATACAGAAACATCGGCTGCTAGAAAAAGTACGTGAAGCGTTAACAAAGGCGCCCGTTGTTTAAGTGTTACTGCAAAATATTTTGTTGTCTTCATAGTGCGCGCATGGAAAGCATTCGCCAAAGACACGCACTCGCTTTTATCTCTCAGTCAGCATTTTATAGACAATATGAGACGGGGTATGCCTCAGCAGGACTACATGCACATCTCCAAATGAACCTTAAACCTTGGGCATGCTTAGAGAAAAACTCATCTGCTGGCAAAACGTTAATTACTGTGGCCAAATTAAGTTCAGTGTTTGGTGTGCGCGCCTCCTCTGCGGCAGTCATATAAATTACGCTCAGTTGATGTTTTTTCAGCCCATGGTTTAGTTGTTTATGATCAATATTAATATTAGCAGATTGAAAAGGTTGCCAAAATTTCCACACCTTTTCCGTGGTCGCTCTCTGAAATCTTTTGAGGCGAGAATACAATTTATGGCCGGTTGGGCAGGGGATGAAGAAAATAAATTAAAGTAACGAACAGAAGTAACGTTACGGTCAGATGTAACGTGACGGATGGAGTGTACATATTTTTTGTGCTAAATTAGCCAGAAAGTTAACTGAGACATTCTTCCTTCACGGGAGTTTGGCGGGTGCCTGCAAGTCTGCGCACTCCGAAGCTTCACTTTGCACGAATTGTTACATTTTCTCTTCTGGGGTTGCTGGATTCGTTGTTGAAAAGCCATTTAATGCAGACAAAACCTCTCTTTTCTCCTTACTTTTAATTCGTCTGCATGTTTATTTATTTCAAATATCCTCAAGGTAATACATTGAATAGGGGAGTGGACGTCAAAATATAATTACAATATGCACATGTTAGTTAGAGCCCTCCTAAACAAAACAATATCAGCCATGTTAGCTATTGAGGTGGGAAGGTGGTTCCGATCCAACGATGTTCGGGCAATAAAAGAATATTGAAACAACGAAGTTTTAAAATTTGGCATACTGACTTTATGACTATGATCAATACGAGCAGAGATGTAGAATGGTGGGATAATTAGTTTATGACGAAGGTCAGCATTTGGTGAACTATTTTATGGAAAAGACACATACGAAATACTTGACGGCGATGCGTTAGTGATGGCAGGCCTAAAGAGGTTTTCATGGTAGAAACGCTGGCAGTGCGGTGATAGTTTCACATAATAAAACGGAATGAACACTTTTGGACAGATTCAATAAGGGAAATTAGTGAAGAGTTGCGCCTCTTGTGCGCAGGTAGATTGTTTGTGAAGGAAGAGATCGCATCGGGTGTTAAGAAGAAACAAGAAGTGTGTTTTGCTTCTAAAAAATGAAAATAAATTATGTGTAACCAACATGCCCTCTTGAATTTACCTATGTTTAACTAAACTATGCACATGTGAACTTTTAGAAATTGCCTACATACTGGGGCAATTTCAAGAGCCCTGTTAGTTTTTAACTAACCAATTTCGCGGACAGACATTTCCGCCGTGGTATTCAAGCCCTGTGGTTACCTGTGGCGCAACATGTCAGCATCGCTCTAATCAAATGTGTCGAGTGCTGGAGATTTCATCTCAAAGCTCTAACGCTTCCAACACTTACTCAATATTTTGAGCGTTAGAGCCCCATGATACCGATTGCTTAGAGATCAGCTTCGTACCTTCCAAGCAGATGTTCTCAATGAAAGACCAGAGGTGATCGTGGAACACCGACATTACACGAAAGCGTGTCCTCTCGTCTCCAAAGTTAAGATGAGCGTGAACATAATCACTGGTTGTCCATAGTATTGCCGAGAGAACAATGCCACAGAGGAAGCACGTCCATGCCTGGCATGGGAAAGGTGAAAAAAAAGAACATATCATGAAAACGTGAACTAACAATATTGCTCCCTACATCAGATTGTTATTATTTACAATTCCAGAATCTCAGAATCAGAGGTTTCACTTGCAGGAATGAAACTTTGAATACCGTAAATGCATTCTAAGAAGTTCTTGTAAATGTTCCTTCTCGGCAGACTGCTGAAGCCAACTCTGAGATTGTGCAAACATTCTCTTTCTTTTTTTTGGTGGTTCATCTGACGCAGGTAAGAAATTAAAGCACAGGTTAAGATTATCTGTTGCAGCTATCTTATGGCCTTTTTTAGACAAACAGCGGTTATTTAAAAAATTGGCAGTTTAAATTTTATCTTAATTAATGCCGCGAGAAATTGCTACTGCCTCGCCAAGTAACCAGCACAATGTTTTGCGGGGTAAATAGAGACGGTGTTACGTTGCCACTTTCTATATGTTAGTATGGTCTAGTCTGTTTTATACCCCTATATTAGGGGCACCAAAAGTTCTTCAGAGCAAACTCCTTAAAAAATTCGGCAAATCGGCCCGAGATTTCGACTCTGCATGTGCCAGTCGGCGTCAGCTGGTTTGCAGAGGTCTTCAAATTAATTTTTGTAGGCCATTTGAGTGCCGGTATAACAGGAGTTTCCTACCCCTGTCACAAGGCAAAGTTAGCTCAGTTACATCAAATCACATTTGACCGAACGATCAATCACAGTTCGCCACTCTTAGTGTGGCGCGTTCCACGCGCAATGCTCATGACCAAGACCGCGAGTCGATTCGCCGGTCACCTAATGTGATACGATGGAAATCACATTAAAGTGTTTTACAGTAAGGGACCCCAGCAGGTCCCCAGAGCAGCTCAGGACGTCGTACGGCGCATACGTAGTGTGACACCTCAAGCTGCTAGGGGGACCCAAAGCGTTGAGACCCTCTATGCTAAAACTCAGTATTATGTTATTAACTATGCCGTGTGGCAGGGATGATATTACGTTAAAGCATGACTACCTCGCATATGCCGTTACTTACTCTCACGACCCATTTGGCCGGTTGGCTTGTACTCCCGTCAGGTTTTTCCGTACCGTGCTTCGCCTAATTGTCGTGCTCATGCGGATACCAATCGAACGAACACGTACCTACATAGAGTCCAGTAAGTAATGGGCCGGCTTACCTCCCATGGGAAGATTTTCACGAATCCGGAGATGTGACTTTGATGACGAGACAGTCGACCTGCCAGGATCATAAGTTCTATGGGAAGGATGGTCTCCGTGGCCACCGCCACGTCTGTCTTTTGGCTCGTTGGGTTGATGACAGACAGGGCCAAATCCGAGTCCTGAAATTCTCAAAGAAACTTCGTATTCAAACTTATCGAAACTTCTAGCAATAATGGTTAAAGCTCTCCGTTCAAAAACCTTTCCTTCTGGTGAAGTAAATGCTCGACAAACTAAATACCTTACTTCAGTGAAGCTCTGATACTAAAGTCTGCGCGAATCGACGACAACGTAAACTGTGTTTTAGCACGACGTGCGAGAGCTCAGCGATAACTATATCTTACCGAAGCAAGCAAAGATGCTTAGCGGCCTT